CGGCGGGCAAGGAATGATCGGGAGAGGGGGAGGGAAGTTGACGGGCGGCGGTGTTTTGGTCGAAGCGGCATTTCAGATCCCACCCATTGCCCTCCACTCAAAGAAAATGCTCGGTCTCTTCCCGAAATCACGCGTCATCCGGCGACGTCGCAACGAGCTTCCTCTTCTCTCGCTCCCCTTTGCATGCCCCACACTCCAGTTCGTTTTTTTCGCAATTGCCTCTGCGCTCTCTCGACAACGCGGGCCCCCGCAGCGCAGTGCGCCGTCCACCCGCGACCCCGACACGTCCGCAAGCCTCCCATGCAAAAAACTTGCGCGTTCGTTCAATGAGCGCCCCCCGACGGAACTCGTTTTGCACCCCGCCGAGAACCAGTCGTCTTGGTCCCCCACGCTTACACTCCGTCAGCTCCGTCATTCCCTGCGCTGCCCCTTCACCTACCACTCCCCAGAAAATATGCTGCCCGTGGCCTCCGTGGCACCAGGCGCGTACTTCCGCGCTTTCTTCCGATGCGACGCGGGCATCGCACTGATTGTCGATCCCGACGGCGGCACCAGCTGATAAAAATCTCCGCAGAACAGCGCGTTCACGCCCACAAAAAGTCGGTCCACGCCGTCTGCCCCCACCTTCGCGTCGCTCGCTGCTGACATGCACGGCCGCAGCTGTGAATCGAGCTCTGCAAGGAAGTTCGCGCTCACCATGCTCACCTCGTCAACAATCAACCAGTTCCACTGCGACATCCGTTGCGCGGCCACTTCCTTGTGGTTGTCATGTTCACCTTTGCGTTTCCATCGCCCCCTGCGCTCGGCCCCTTCGTCTTAGTCACGCCCATGCCAGATACAATGTGAATCGTGCTCCCATCAAGAGCTGACGCGGTTATAACCTGCAAGGCTGCTACCTGGAAGTCAATGCCACGCGTCCACCCCATCTCCTTCTCGAACAGTTCCTTCCGGATCTTGTCTATGACGAAGCTCTTCCCCTTTCCAGGGCCACCGCGCAGTGCCCACAGGAGGGGCTCCATGTCCGCGCGCTTCTGGCCCGCCTTCTGCCCCCCCCGCGGGAAGCGAGAACTCCTGCGCCAGAACCCGATCGGCCACCTTTTCCACGATACTCGGTTGACCCGCATTCAGCCCGCCATGCGCAAGCATGCCCCCAAATCGATCCCAGGCCCTCTGAGAACACTCCGAATATGGCCCCGAGACGCAAACCAAGCGAAGAGAGCCCCAAGAGACCCCGAAGACGGTCCCAACAGGCCGTGGGTTCCACAAAGATCGTTCCAAGACGCCGAAGGTACCGTCGAAACGACCCAAAATGCCCCCAAGAAGCTCCCAGAGGCCTCCATAAAGACACTCGGGAGCCTCCCGAGGCAAACAGATGTTGATGCGCGATTGTTATTCAAAGACGTTGGCGTCCTCGTTCTTATGGCACCTCCACGCTGCCAGACGACCCAAACGGCTCCAAGATAACCATCCAATAGGCGCAAAATATCCCAAGAAGCCTGCGAGACGGGCCCCGAGCGGGCCAACAGGGCCTAAACGGACCGCAAAAATAGTCCAAGAAGACTCCCAGTAGCTGACAGATCGCTCCATGACGCCGAGGGTACCATCCCAACGCCTTAAGGTGCACCCAGAGAGGCCCCAGGACCTCCATGCGGCCATGCGGGCACCCGCGAGGGCCTCCCGGATCAAACGTCCGTTGATGTTCGATTCTTTTCGAGTGACTCCAGAAAGGCTTCCAACCATCCTCCAGAACCCACCCCCCGGAAGCTTCCAAGAGGATCCCAAGACTCCCACCAGAGACCGCCCTCGCGACCCAAACTGACCGGCCACGACGCAAACTGAGATGCAAGGGGTCGGCGGATGCGGCGAAAACCTGACGAATCGTTTTGTTGACGGTCCCGAGTGATGGGCTTGTTTTCCACCACCACCACCATAAGTAGGAGGGGGAGGGGGTCCTCCTCCTCTTCTTCTTCTTCTCCTCCTCCTCGTCCTCCACCTCCTTCCCCCCTCCAACTTATGGTGGTGGTGGTGGAAAACAGGCCCATCACCGAGGCCCTGTGAGGGCCCTGGGAGGCCAAGAATAGCGAAAACAAAATCCCGCCGCGTCTTTTGGCGACTCGCGGGGGGGGCCTGGGGCGCCCGAGGCGGGGCAAGATCGAGCCCGTGGTGGAACAAACAGGCCTGGAGGCCTGCAAATTGGCACCAACGCCAGCCCAGGGGGTTGCCTCCACAGGGGGAAGACGATCCTAGATCTCGGTGTTTTGGTGGCCATCTTTCGGCCACCCTGGAAGCCAGAATATTACCGCCATCACCGAGATCGAGATCGCCTTCCCTCGGTGGAGGCACACCACCGATCTTGGTTTTTTTTTTCCCCCCTCACGTCGACCACGGCGGCTGGACGCCTCGACAACTTCGCATGGCCACTGCCCCCGGACATGGAGGGAAGCCGGGCTGCGTGGGCAGCCGACCACCAAAGAATACGGAGACGCTATCAGGCACGTGGCAGGGACAGCGAAAGAGCACCCGTGACAATTATTGCCCGGGGGCCAGGGCGGAAATGTTACTTAAGACCGGGTCAACCTCTAGGCCTGCGACATGCGAAGCCGGGACCTCGAGGCCCGGGCCTGAGCCGCGGGGGGGGGCGCGCAGCGCAGCGCACCTCCGCGCCCACCCGGGCGGCGGCGCCCCCGGAGATCGACTCGCCCGCCCACGGCCCTGGGCGGCAACCTCCGAACCCTGACCCCACCAACCATGGAAGGACGAGGACGAGGATTGCAAGGAGGAGGAGGAGGAGGACGAGGAGGAGGAGGAGGAGGAGGAGGAGGAGGATTGCAAGGAGGAGGAGGAGGAGGAGGAGGAGGACGAGGATTGCAAGGAGGAGGAGGAGGAGGAGGACGAGGAGGAGGACCGTCGCACGGATTCGAAAAGGGTTCGGCTTCGCCCGGGCGGCCCGAGCGCTTCGGCATCGGCAGCCTGTCGGGCTACCTTCTCGATTTTGATCGGCGGCTTGAAAATCACGGGGCTGTTCTTTCCAGCCTTGGGGCGCCTTCTCTCCTGGAGGCGCTCACAAGCACCTCTCGCGAGGAGGGCGTAAAGGAGGAGGAGGAGGAGGAGGAGGAGGACCAGTGCAAACCCAAGACTCATCAACGATATTGCAAGAAACCCTCCGTAAAAGTTCTCTCTTCATAGGCCCGTACTAGGTTTCATTTTCACTGAGGGAAGTGCCCCGTTGGAAATCCTGAACTGCGACACAACACCATTCCTGGGATTTCAACGCCGTGAATCACCATTACTGCTGTGTGTGGACGATCCTGAGTCGTGCCAGAACACCATTCCTGGGACCCCAATACCGCGAACAAAGGCAACTATTGCAACCTGACAGTCCGACATCGTGCCCAAACACCCTTTCTGGGACGGTAGTCCTGGGAACCCTTGAAACTGCTGTAAACTCTTACAACGAATGAGCGCGGCGCTGAGGCGACAGCCACATTTTGAAAGCGGATCACCCTCCGTCCGTGCAACTCTTGCAACTTGTGTGTAACGAAAGTGCGATGGCGAGAGCCATACTTTGAAAGCGTACAGCCCTCCTGCAATGAAATTATTACATCTGTTTAAAGATTGAAGCGAATGTGCGCGACGCCGCAGCGAGAGCCACATTTTGAAAGCGGACCGCCCTCAATCCGTGAAACTCTTGCAAAAGTTTGAAACTAAGTTGCGCGGCGCTTAGGCGGGAGCCACATTTTGAAAGCGGACCGCCTCCCATCTGTGAAACTTCTGCAACCTGTAAGGATCACAAACGGTGGGGAATTATCAAAAGCAAAACGCCTGGCTGCGCTACCGACGCGCCTCAGGGTGCAGCAGGGAGGAGTTTTATTCACAAGGACAGAGGCAAGGGGGAGGAAGAGGAGGCCGGCGACGAACCAGAGGAGGGCGAGGCGTCTACGGCGCAGCCCCGCCAGCCATGCCCGGCCGCGCCGCGCCCACCGGGGGCGGCGCGCCGTGCCGGGGGGCGGAGGCCCCCCCCGGGGCGGACACCCCTGGGCGGCAGGCGGGGTGAAGCCGAGCTCGATTGCAGAGGGCACGCGAGAGAGCACCGGGCTCGAGGGCCCCAAGAGGGGTCCAGGAGGGCCCCAAGACGGCCCCGGGGGCGCCCAAGGTCGAGCCCCAGGAGGACCCCGACCCCCCAAAACGAGCCCCAAGAGCCCCTCGAGAGAGACCCGAGAAGGCCCCCAAAGGTCGAGCCGCTCGCTGAACCGTTGTTGATGTGTTCTCGTGTTCCTTCGTTCTGTCTTCGCTCTTCCTTTGCGGCGAGACGGAATCAAAACGAGAGCGGTCCACGAAATCGCCAAAACATCACTCAGCTCGCGCCCTGAGAGGACGGACTTTCTTCGAGGGGAGAAGATGAAGGTAGAGGAAGAGGAGACCGCGACGCATCAGATGTACTCCGCACAACCTGCCAAACCAAACACAAAAACCCTGGACTCGCATATCGAGGCAGCTGCATATGTCGCGGAATCGGTGCAGGAGCAGTTGCACAAGGAGGAAATTGAAACGTCTTATTCGCGAGACCACGCGAGAGGACACAAGACCCTTCTCAAGGCCACGTTGCCATAAGGAACGCAGAATACATGGGTCGCCAAACGGAGGACACGAGGGCACCGTTGATTTGGCAGGGTCGGCCGACCAATCAAAGCGAGAAGGGGCGGGCCTTTTCAGAAGGCTCAGAAGTCCTCCAGTCTTCTGCCAAGTTTTCTAAGCCTTCCCCGAAGACACCAAAAACTTCTCAGAAGGCGCGAGGGCCTCTGAGAAGTCCCGCCGCCATCTAAGATGGCCCTCTCCTTCTCGCTTCCCCCCGCTCGCTCGCCGCCGAAGGTGGGGCAGGGCCTGGAGTTCGCCACGTGCTCGATGAGGTTCGAGCCCCGCCCCCGCCACCCATCGAGCTGCCCGAATCCATGATCGGCGAGCGCACGATTCGGATCCCCCCAGCGGGGCCGCAGAGGCTCCTCCTTGATCTTCTTCTCGTTCCAGTCGTCGGGGAAGCACTTGACGCCCAGAAGGCCAAAAAAGGGACCGGCACAGGCTCGGGGAGACGTGAGACTTTCGAGTTTGGGGGACTCGAGCTGACCCGATGGGGCCAGCAGAAAGCTCACAGGACCTGGCTTGGAACTGGACGCGAGCTCCCGCTGCAGATATCTCACGAACACTGGACCGCCAAAAATCGTGACCTGCATCGTCAAAAAGGCGTCAGCAAGCCCGAGTCCCGGCAAACCCGAGTCTGACGTTTGGGGCAAGTCCTCCTACAGGCGAATTTCGGAAGAGGGGGAAAAAACAAAAACAGCAAAACAAAAATGCGCAGCAAGAGAGCACGAAAAAATCGTCCCCAGGCCATGTTTCACCATTCTCGAGTGTTCCTCCTGCAGGGGGCCATGCCCGACGTAAGCAGAAGCCCGTCGGAGACGCGCGCGGATCCCTCGGGTCGGCGCCGGATCCCCCTCCCGACGCCCCCTGGCCCTGCATGGACTTCGCGGGCGGGGCGAGATAGGGGGAGGTCTGGCGCCGGCCCCAGAAAATCCCCGCGGGCCCTCGAAAGCTGAGGTTAGGTCGGGCATGTCCTGCCACAGGCGGACTTGGAAGAAAAATTTTAAAATGGTAAAAACATGCTCAAAATTAGTCCAAAAGAGCACGGAAAATCCGCCGACCCTGTCGGCGTGTGCGAGGGGCTTCTCCGTTCGAGTTCTCGTCTCCGTCGTCTCCTCGTCATCTTCATCGTCGTCATCGTCGTCTCCTCGCTGTATCCGTCGTCCCCCGTCCCTGTCCCTGGGCCCTCCTCAAGCGTACCATCCAAAGCGAAATTGTACAACGTAGTATTGGAGTCGAAGGGAAGCTCCTTCCCTTTGATCCCTTCCCCGCGGGCGAAGGGGTCACAGGGGGGGTCCCGAGGGGTGTCGCCACCCAGATTCGTTTTCCCCCGGGCGGCCCCGACATATCGAACAGCCCCAACAAGAACCCAGAATGCCGAAGATGGCGCCCAAGATTGCCCAAGCCCCGTGTCGCTCAAAGATCGGGCCAACACGGCCAAGATGGCCCCAAGACGATCCAAGAAGCCTCCTAGATGTCCCAGGAGCTCTCCAAAAACACCCCCACCAAGGCTCCAAGAGGCTCCCCCCTCCTCCTACTATTCCTCCTCCTCCTCCTCCTCCTACTCCTCCTCCTCCTCCTCCTCCTCCTCCTCCTCCTCCTCCTGCTCCTCCTCCTCCTCCTCCTCCTCCTCCTCCTCGTCCTCCTCCTCATATGTTCCCCTCCTCTTCCTCCTCCTGCTGTTCTCCTCCTCCTCCTCCTCCTCCTCCTCCTCCTCCTCCTCCTCCTCCTCCTCCTCCTCCTCCTCCTCCTCCTCCTCCGTTTCCTCCTCCTCCTCCGCCTTCCTTTCCTCCTCTCCCTCCTCCTCATTATCCTTCTTCTCCTTTTCCGTCCTCCTCTTCTTCCTGATTATCTTCCTCCTCCTCCTCCTGACCTCCTTCTTCTTCTTCCTATTCCTCGTCCTTCTCTTCATCCTCATTATTTTCCTCCTCCTCCTCCTCCTCCTCCTCCCTCCTCCTTCCTCTGTGTCCTCCCCTCTCCTCCTCCTCCTCCTCCTATCCTACCCCTCATCCTCTTCCTCCTCATCCTCATCCTCACCCCTCTCTCAGGCAGGATAAGCCGCAGCGAAAGGAGACAACAGACGAGAAGAAATCGACAGACGCACCCCTTCCTCCTCCTCCTCCTCCTCCTCCTCCTCCTCCTCCTCCTCCTCCTCCTCCTCTCCTCCTCCTCCTCCTCCTCCTCCTAACCCCTCATCATCCTCCTCCTCCTCCTCCTCCTCCTCCTCCTCCTCCTCCTGCCACTCCTCCTCCTCCCCCTGCACCCCCCCCCTCCCTTTCATCTTCGTCGTCTTCAGGGTCGGCGACACCAGCCGTCCGGCCGTAAGGCCTTCGCAATCGTCCCCTGGCTATTTTGTTTACTGTTCTTGAACATTCCTCCTGTAGAGGAACATGCCCGACTTAAAGCCCAGGTGGGCGTGCGATTTTTAACGCACAACCCACACAACCAAGCTCGTACGGAACAACACCGCGGAGCGTGGGCTGTTCAGACGAAGCCAGGACGAGGGCAAAGCCGGGCGAGGACACATCGAGGATCTCTGAGATCTGGCGGCTCTGGAGCATGGGTCTCGGGCGACGCGGTCTTCTCAGAGCGCTCCACAACGCTCTGAGAGCGTCATGGAGCGCTCTGGAACGGATTTCTCCTCGTCCGTCTGGTTGACCCAAAAGGGGGCCCAGCGAAAAGGAGGTGATGCAATAGATTTGGTGCAATAAGTTTGTGGGGTTGCAATAAAGTTGGGGCGTGCAATACATTCCGGTGCGCAAATGTATTGCTGGATGTTCGCGTGCAATACATCAGTCGCAATACAATGCAATACAATTCTCCAGCGCAGTACATGTGTAATACAATGGCCCAAAATCTATTGCACCACCCCCTTGCAGCTGGACCTCCTTTTGGGTCAATCACAGTCCTATAGCCCCGTGAGGGCTGCGCACAGCAACGGCATCCCCTTGAGGCAGGATGTGTGCACCTCACCCATGCAGGCCAGCCAGTCCTGCACAGGGGTCCGCGGGCAGGGGCGGCGGCCATGCATCGGCCTCTTGGGGTGTTGCTAGACTTAGGTCAGGCATGTCCTCCTACAGGCGGATCTTGAATGAATAATGAAAAAAATACTAGAGAAATCGTCCCCTCTCCTGTAGAGGGACAGGTCCGACTTAAGCATGGAAGTGCCCATGGCCCAAGGTGCCCACAGGATCCCCAAGGAGCCCCAAAGGCCTCCAGGGCACCCCCTCACGAGGCCCAGAGGGCCCCAGGCGCTCCACAATGGGGCGAAAAGCTGGGGGGCACCTTGGGCCAGGGGCACCTCTGGCACCCCCCGACAAGGGGGTTTGCACCATGTGCTTGACGCACTTCTGTGGGCCTCGGCCGCAGCCGTCCGAGATCTTCCCAGGGGTGCATGTGCAGGCCAGGACTTCAACTTCGGCACCGCCTGACCCCTGGGCTTCGCCCTCTCTCGGCCTTGACGTGAGGCCCCGCCTTCTTCCGCCCTTTCTCTGCTAATGAAAGCTGTGCGCGTCCCGCTTAGCTTTCAGCGGAAGAGGTTCGCTCTCGCCCTGCAGATCAAAAAGTGCAGGCCAGGATGTCGAAGCGAGCCCGGCCGTGGAAACACGAGAAGCCCGTGGCGCGCATGTGGTCTGGAGCGTTTCCTTTTCCAACCTCCTTCCTTTCCCTGCTCGGGAGATTTACCTCCCCCCCCTCCCTGCGTCTGGGCGGGCTCCCCCGCGAGGCGTCAAAGGGCCCTTTTCGGCCCAAGACGGCTCCAAGATGGCTGCCTGTGCCGTCGTTTGGCCTTCTCGCTGTACAGGTTCGTGTAGTTGATGATCTCGGGCTTCGGCCTGTCCTCACGGAGGGCGCAGGGCGGCAAGAAGCCAGGAGGAGAGGAAGAGTGGCATAGAGCAGGGGAGGGAGGAAGAGGAGGGGAAGCACGAAGCCAGGCCCGGAGGAGCGAAAGCAAGAAAACACGAGGATGAAAAGGAGGAGGAGGAGGAGGAGGAGGAGGAAACGGGTCCTGAGAGAAACGGGCTCTGGACTCTGGGGCCTGCCGCAGGACAAGCTTCTCGTCCTGGGCCCCTCCTTGGCGGTGCCGAGGCCCAGGGAGGGCCCTGGGAGTCCGAAGGCGGGAACAGCCTCGAGGACCCATTTCCCTCTGGGCGAGAGGCGGAGAAAGAGGAGGAGGAATAGGCGGCAGGCGAGGGGGGGAAATGAGAAGGAGAAGGCCTTCTCAGAAGGCGGCGGGACTTCTCAGAAGCCCTCGCACCTTCTGAGAAGTTTGTCTTGTCTTCCGGGAAGGCTTAGGAAACTTCTCAGAAGGCCGGGGGACTTCCGAGACTGCTGAGAAGGCCCGCCCCTTCTCACTTCCCCCCCTCGCTCGCCGCCGAAGGAAGAGAAGGAGGAGAAGGAGGAGGAGGAGGAGGTCTTGGTCCCCGATGGTTTTCGGGGAACGACTCTGGCCTTCGGCGACAGCTCGGGGCCACTCGGGCACCCCCCGATGAACGCTCTCGACGAGGCGCAGCTGCTCAGAGAAGCATCCCGAGGCTCAAAACTGTGGGTACCGACGAAGACGTGCGATAACCTCGAACCTCGAAAAAAAAGGAGGACGACGAGGACGAGGACGAGGAGGGAAGCAGGAGGAGGAGGATAAGGAGAACGACGAGGAGGGAGGACGAGGAAGAGTTTTAAAGGGACGAGAGAGAAGCGAGGAGGACAAGCCAGGTGCGCTCCAGTGGAAGGTGCGGGAGGGGAAAGGACGGGGCGATAACGACGATTCGGGACTCGGATCAAGAATTGTGACCTGCGCTGGGGCGAGGGCGCCATTTTGAACAACGGGGGCAATGCGTCGATCCTGACATGGAATCGACGCTGCAGCGGAAGTACCCCTTTGAAATACTGGAGACGCTGCGGGTTGTCAAAGTCCAACTCCTTAGATCAATCGGCATGCGGGAGAAAACGGGCCCTGCTCAGACAGAGTCCGAAGACAAGAGGAGAGTAGTATTCGAATGCCGCGAGGAAGTGGCAGGCGCAAAGGAGCGCACTATTCACATTGGGGAGGAGGAGGAGGACCAGTGTAAACCCAAGACTCATCAACGATGCTGGAATAAACCCTCCCTCCAAGCTCCCTATTCACAAGGTCCTACAAAGATTACCTTCCACTCAAGGCAATGCCCCGTTGGGAGACAACCGTTTGAGGATCCTGACGCGTGCCAAAACACTATTATCCGGACCCCAACCGCCACGAATCAACATGACTGTCGCGGCGTGACGACCCTAAACAATGCTAAAACACAATTCCTGGGACTTCATCACCGCGAATAAACGAAACTGTTGCGCTTACACAAATTCTGGTACGTTAACCATGCGAATCCATGAAACTTCTGCATTGCTTTGTTCTTAACAAAACAAAACACATGAACAAAAATGCGCGCTGCGTTTATGGCGAGAGCCACATGTTGAAAGCGGGCCGCCCTCAACCCGTGGAAATCTTGCAACTGTTTCACAGAAATGTGCGCGGTGCCGGGGCCAAAGCAACATGTTGAAAACCGCCCGCCCTCAATGCGTGGAACTCACGACATTGTTGAAAACGGAGGGGCGCGGCGCTGAGGCCACAGCCACATGTTGAAAATCGCCCGCCCTCCATCCAGGAACTTCTCATGCTTTTTTGAGAACGACTGCACGCGGCGCTGAGGCAAGAGCCACATTTTGAAGACCGCCCGCCCTCAATCCGTGAAGATTTTGCAAACTGTTGAAACTAATGCGCGGAGCGCTCAAGCGAGAGCCACATGTTGAAAACCGCCCGCCATCCATATGTAAAACTGCTGCCAATTTTGAAGCTTCGGACATAAATTGTAAGGAAATCTCGAGCGAAACACCCGGCCCGCCCTTCCTACTTGCCTCGGAGTGCGACAGGGAGGAATTATTGATAAGGAAAAGGCATGGAGGAGGAGGACGATGAGAAGGAGGAGAAGGAGAAGGAGGAGAAGCGGAGGAGGAGGAGGAGCAGGACGAGGAAGAGGAGGAGGAACAGGAGAAGGAGGAGAAGGAGGAGAAGGCGGAGGAGCAGGAGCAGGAGGACGAGGCCTCGGACCTAATGCCGCCAGTGCCCAGCACGAGGCGGGGGAAACGAGGGCGAGGAGGGGAAAAGGCGAGGCGGAGGAGAAGGACGAGGCGGGGGGAAGGGGGGGATGAGGAGGAGGAGGAGGACGACGACGACGAAGACGACGACGAGGGAGGAGGAGGGAGGAGGAGAGGAGGAGAAGGCGAGCTTCGGCAGGTCCTCGCGCTTCTCGAACTTGGTGACCTGGCGGGCCGCGCACGCCCGTGCCAATGGCCCGGCGCCGGGCGGCTTCGGAGGCCGGGCCCTCCCCTCGCCCCACTCCTCGTCCCTCCCACCTCGTCCCACCTCGTCCCACCTCGTCCATCCCACCTCGTCCCTCCCACCTCGCCCCACCTCGTCCCACCTCGTCCCACCTCGTCCCTCCCCTCGTCCACCCCTCGTCCCTCCCACCTCGTCCCACCTCACCCCATCTCAGGGCGGCATGGGTGCCTGCAGACTTTGCCTTTCCCGCTACGGCGGCCGATGCCCCCAGCGCCCTGTGGTTTGGGAGGCCAGGCCCTCCCCATCGTCCCCCTCCTTGTCCTGCGAAGCCTGCCGACCAGACGGGCGTGCACACGAGGGGGCCGATAGCGACCTTCCGCGCGCAGGGCGCCGTCCTCGAGATCCACTCGTTCGTGCTGGGCGAGCTGCTGGCGAAGGAGGTTGTCAGGGGCAGCCTCGCAGCAGCGAGCAACTTCATCGGGGACACGTTCGAGGAGCAGCTGGAGCCGAACGGCGTCAGCCTCGCCTCCAACGTGCCGCATGACAAGGCCGGGCCGGAGACGCCGCAATTCATGGGGGATTGCGGGGACAGCGACGTGGAGGCCAACATCCAGGTGGAGGAGCCCGACGCGTTCGCCGCGATCCCCGCCGTCCCCAAGCTTGCGGACAGCCTCGTGGTGAAGATCGTGGAGGTGCCCGTGGAGGTGCCCGATCTTTTGGGCGATGCCCACGATGAGGAGCGGGCTTAGCGCACCGCTGGGCAGGCTGGGCAGCACACCGCTGCCGAGCAGAAGGAGGAGGTCGCCGAGGTCCAGGAGGCCAGGTTCCTGCAGCCGCTTGGGGTGAATACCTGGGCCGATCAACGTGATGACCATGGCGCTGGTGAAGCCTGCACCCTTGAGGACGAGGGCTTGGATAGCAAGATCGTCAAGCTCGCGGAGGTGCCCGCGCAGGACGTCGACTCCGTCCAGGGGTTCGCGGTGCAGGCCGCCGTCGCTGACGCGCCTACGCCGGAGGGCCACGGTCGAGGCCGACCGAGCGGCGCATGCCAGAGAGGCCGCTGCTGCAGACTGCCGCCGTGCCATGTGGCGGCTCGAGCACCCCGAGCTGGACAGAAGCATGCAGAGTTCGGGTTGACCCCAAAGGGGGTCCAGCGACAAGGGGGTGGTGTAATAGATTTGGTGCCATAGATCTGTGGGGTTGCAATACATTTGGGGCGTGCAATACATTCCGGGGCGCAAATGTATTGCTGGATTTTCGCGTGCAATGCATTATTTGCAATACAATGCAATACGATTCTCCGGCGCAGTACGTTTGCCATACAGTTGCCCCAAATCTATTGCACCACCCCCTTGCGGCTGGATCCCCCTTTTGGGTCGCCCAGAAGAGTGCCCGGGCCCCCGCCAGCGCTGCCGCAGCCGCCCAGCGCTGCCGCACGGGTGCGACTCTGGGAGCGCCAAGCGCGCTGCCGCTGCCGAGCCTGGACGTGCCGAGGGCGGCGTCGAGGTGCCGACCGACTTCGCCGGCGCGGAGGGCGGCCTCGTCGATCAGATCC